TCTTCAGGATCTCCCAAGAGCACAGTGTCATCAGCAAAGAGCAGCTGTGACAACTCCCACTTTGTGTGCGATTCTTTATCTTTTAACTCCACGCCTCTTGCCAAGACCCTCGCATTTACTTCTCTTACAACCCCATCTATAAATATATTAAACAACCACGGTGACATCACACATCCTTGTCTAAGGCCTACTTTTACTGGGAAAAAATTTCCCTCTTTCCTACATACTCTAACTTGAGCCTCACTATCCTCGTAAAAACTCTTCACTGCTTTCAGTAACCTACCTCCTACACCATACACTTGCAACATCTGCCACATTGCCCCCCTATCCACCCTGTCATACGCCTTTTCCAAATCCAGGGGGCACAAATTTATGACAATATAACACTAACTGTGGACTGTGGGTATTATCTGCACTTTACTGTGATTCTGTTAGTCAAGCCTCACTTAGGAATGTTTTAAGGTCATGTTCTGTAGAGATGAAGTATCTCTTCCCAGTGGGCTGTTTCCTAACTGCGATTTTTCCATCCCTCACAAAGCACTGGTGGATTTTTTGGGCATAGCGTAATTTTCTTAGCCGATAAAGAAGGTTTTGTCTTGTTTTGGTAAGGCACTCATTGACGTAAACATCAGTTTTCATAGAAATAGATGTTTTTAGTAGGTTGTTTCTTTGTAGGCTAGTTTGGAATTTTAACAGCACTGTTTTTTTACCTGCTTGGTAGCCCATCAGTTTGCAATCCTTTAGGTCATCACTATGTATGTTAAGGTGAAGGTAGTCCTTGATGAGCTGTAGGGTGGTCTCCATGCAGGTCTCTTGGGTGACTGTGGCTGGGAGATATTTGCTGTTAACTACAACAGCATCAGATAGCTGTTGTTGGTCATTATGGTCTTGGAAGTTGGTTATGACATTGGCAAGTTGTTGGTCCACTCTTGATCTTTCCTCTGTAATGTTGGTAGTAAGTAGGGTGACTTGGTCTTTTAGAGTGTTGATAGTGTCTAGGGACTGGGTGTGGGTGTTGCTTTGTTGTTCCAGAGTGTCTAGTTTATGTTCTAGAGCAGTGATCTTGTTGAGGTAAATCTGCTTTGGGCTAGCTTTTATTTCCCTGCATTTCTTGAGTTATTTTTGGTGATCGTTTGGTTCTGAATCGTAAGGAGTTTAGCTATTTCTGGGTCAGTGATCTTCTTGACTCAAATACTGGGAAGGAGTTATCTGGACTGTGGCAGCAGCCATGTTTGTTGTTGTCTGTCGGGGTGTTGTGGTGATGCGGTGGGTGATGAGGGTTGTGTCCTGGCTGGCAGTACCAAAGTTTTCCTCGTGTTTTTACTGCTCTCACCTTTGATGTTAGGAGTCCTTAGCTGGTTACTGGATCTTCTTTTATTGTTCTGACCCTTGTCCATTGGCTGTGGCTTCGGGTGAATAATAGGCGATGGGTGAATGTTGTGGAGTATCACTTCAGTGGCAGCGGGGTAGGAGGTGGTAGTACGAGTCCTATTAGTTGGTAATTTGTGAACTTTTGGGTGGTTTCTGCAGTTGATTTATATCATTCTGGGTATCCACACATGTTAATGTTATGTGGGTCTTGATTAGGTCATCACTGGGCTGCTGGGAACCTCAGGTAGAAGTAAAAATAGAGGACAAGGTTCCTGTTGCTGCTGCTGCGGCATCGTCTGCCAAGTCTTTTGCTTTCGTAGTGAGTGATTTTCGTGTGCAAGTTCGGTACTAGTCCCTCTAGGATTTTCCAGGTGTATATAATCATGTATCTCTCCCGCCTGTGTTCCAGGGAATACAGGTTCAGGAACCTCAAGCGCTCCCAGTAACTGAGGTGTTTTATCTCCGTTATGCGCGCCGTGAAGGTTCTCTGTACATTTTCTAGGTCAGCAATTTCACCTGCCTTGAAAGGTGCTGTTAGTGTGCAGCAATATTCCAGCCTAGATAGAACAAACAACCTGAAGAGTGTCATCATGGGCTTGGCATTCCTAGTTTTGAAGGTTCTCATTATCCATCCTGTCATTTTTCTAGCAGCTGCGATTGATATAATGTTATGGTCCTTGAAGGGGAAAATCCTCCGACATGATCACTCCCAGGTCTTTGACGTTGGTGTTTTGCTCTATTTTGTGGCCAGAATTTGTTTTGTACTCTGATGAAGATTTAATTTCCTCGTGTTTACCATATCTGAGTAATTGAAATTTCTCATCGTTGAACTTCATATTGTTTTTCTGCAGCCCACTGAAAGATTTGGTTGATGTCCGCCTGGAGCCCTTGCAGTGTCTGCAATGGAAGACACTGTCAAAGCAGATTCGGGTGTCATCTGCGAAGGAAGACACGGTGCTGTGGCTGACATCCTTGTCTATGTCAGATATGGGGGATGAGGAACAAGATGGGAGCGAGTACTGTGCCTTGTGGAACAGAGCTTTTCACCGTAGTGCCTCGGACTTTACTCTGTTGACTACTACTCTCTGTGTTCTGTTAGTGAGGAAATTATAGATCCATCGACCAACTTTTCCTGTTATTCCTTTAGCACGCATTTTGTGCGCTATTACGCCATGGTCACACTTGTCGAAGGCTTTTGCAAAGTCTGTATATATTACATCTGCATTCTTTTTGTCTTCTAGTGCATCTAGGACCTTGTCGTAGTGATCCAATAGTTGAGACAGACAGGAGCGACCTGTTCTAAACCCATGTTGCCCTGGGTTGTGTAATTGATGGGTTTCTAGATGGGTTGCAATCTTGCTTCTTAGGACCCTTTCAAAGATTTTTATGATATGGGATGTTAGTGCTATCAGTCTGTAGTTCTTTGTTATTGCTTTACTGCCCCCTTTGTGGAGTGGGGCTATGTCTGTTGTTTTTAGTAACTGTGGGACGACCCCCGTGTCCATGCTCCCTCTCCATAGGATGGTAAAAGCTCATGATAGGGGCTTCTTGAAGTTCTTGATGAACACAGAGTTCCATGAGTCTGGCCCTGGGGCAGTGTGCATGGGCATGTCATTTATCGCCTGTTCGAAGTCATTTGGCGTCAGGATAACATCAGATAGGCTTGTGTTAACCAAATTCTGTGGCTCTCTCATAAAAAATTCATTTTGATCTTCGACTCTCAGTCTGGTTAGCGGCTTGCTAAAAACTGAGTCATATTGGGACTTGAGTAGCTCACTCATTTCCTTGCTGTCATCTGTGTAGGACACATCTTGTTTAAATAACAAAAAGGCACAATACCGTGACTGGAACGATACCACTACTACTACCTCTTCTTCTTCTTCTACTACATCTACTGATGAAATTAGACCAGTGCGGCGTCTGTTGTCTTTGTTGTGGACTTTCGCCATCCAGTGGCTGGCTGGATGGCGAAACGTCTACGGTGGGGATGCCCGGGTGTTGTGCATGTGTCATTTCGTCCTGTCGGTATTATATACAATTCTTGTACTACTACTACTACTACTACTACCACTACTACTACCTCCACCTCTTCCTGCCTATATATAGCCGTCCTGCTCCTCCTCTGTTAGTGTGACTTTGTCAATGGTCCAAGTCGGACCGAAACGTCGTCGTAAGCTTCTGTCTTTTATGTGCGGGTTATTTGTACATCTTGTTTAAGTAGGGGCCCAATACTGGACGTCGTTCTCGACTTTGATTTGGCATAGGAAAAGAAATACTTTGGGTTTCTTTCGATTTCATTTATGGCTTTTAGTTCTTCCCGCGATTCCTGGCTCCTATAAGATTCCTTTAGCTTAAGTTCGATGCTTGCTATTTCTCTGACCAGTGACTCACTACGCATTTCAGATATGTGTTGGTACAACTATACTCTCATACACTCCCCTCTTGCTTCCCCAGACAAAGTTCTTTGTCTCCACAGACTCCTAAGTGCACCACTCACCCTTTTGCCCTCATCAATTCTGTGATTCACCTCATCCTTCATAGACCCATCTGCCGACACGTTCACTCCTAAATACCTGAATACATTCACCTCCTCCATACTCTCTCCCTCCAATCTGATATCCAATCTTTTGTCACCTAATCTTTTTGTTATCCACATAACCTTACTCTTTCCTATATTCACTTTTAACTTAATACTAATTGTGAATATTAAAGACTTATCATACACTGCACCTCTTTCATTATAAGTACAGCATAATTTTTTTTACTGTAATCAACCCATAGTAAAATCCAGAAAACACAAAAAAGAATATAATTTTTCTGCTAAGTGAATCAAATTAATGACATTACATATATTTAATTATAAATAATCTATTTAGTAAGAAGAAAATTCAATAAAAGTCTTAGATTACCTTTGCTATTAATATAATGAGATCAGGAAATAGCAAAGCAATTTCTCAAAATTATTTTGAAGTCATTAATAACCAAACATTAATAAAATAAAAGAATAAAAACATTATTCCAAGCACTTTCAAGAAGTTCTCATCTTCAGTATAGTATACATGACCATACCTGACCTCCACCCTCTCTACCTCACATTAATAGTAAGATAAAATAAAGATTTATTAAAAAGTTAACTATTCTTATCTTATCTAAACTTAAGTAGTTATTATGTACTAGGATTAATTTGCCTGAAATGACCCGGCATGATAGCGGCTTTCTTTGAACTTAACAAATCAAAATTGTAATTACACATTGTAACCTTTGCAAAGAAATAAAATTTTTAATCTTTTTTAATCTTTAATATCATTCAATGATTTTGGAATAAAATGTATGGATTCTTCCTTAGACTAAATCTGATTTACTGGTGAATTTTCATGTACTGGTAAAGCACTAAGACTAATAAACCACTAGCAGACAAACACTTACATAAATATTAAACCTGCTAAGCATAAAAGACAATTGGGTAAGTAATTAGAGTATTAATGCAATACATTTATAGGTGAATTTTAAGATGAAGATGTACATTTGATGGTTACAAAACATAGTCAAAACTGAGTGTATTTTAATATAAAACTTAAGCAAGAAAAAGTTCTATACTTAATAAAATAATGAAAAAGAACTGTATGTACTTGACAAACTAGAGGTCCCCCTGAGTCTCCGAGACATGCGTCACGGCCACCACGATCATAGCCAGCACAGAACATGTCATCAGTAATGCGGTAGAGTGGGATAAATACCGTCCTTTTCCGGCACTCTGATGTTGAGATCAGTGGCACCTGCACCTCCTGAAGAGTGTCAGCTGCAAAGTAAGCAGTACTGTATTATCAAATACAAATTTTGATGAAGTTAAACATTCAATAATAAATCAGTTAAACATCAAGACAGTCAGCATAAAATACATTACACTTACGGAATATCTTCCCAACTTCAAAGAGTTGTCCCCAGCCAACAAGAGTACAGAGGCGACCTTGGCGGACAGGGGCTCCTGGTGGTGGAAGGCACACAGGACGCACATAGTCTGTGAACTTGATGGATTCCTCTATTCGCAACAGCGATATATCGTTGATGAAGCCTGTGTCCTCGTATCTGCCAAGTGCAAAAATTTTGTGATGTTATTCCACATCATAAAAGCTTTTATCAGTGATCTGGAAGGGATACTATCTAATCAACTACAGAACCAAGAATTGTATTTATCCACATTGTTATATACTATACCATATACACTGATTAAATTTACGTTATTCTGTATGATCTGAAAAGCAATAAAATACTATGCAGTCAGCACCTTAAAACACAAAAATTAAAAAAAAGTAATGCAGCACTACAGCACTATATATAGCTCACAAAAATGAATTAAGTTTACCTCAATCATTTTCTACAATTAACATTACCATAAAACAATCCAGAATTCATAATTTTTTTTTAAATCATATTCCAAACTAGGCCATAATTCAAAATTTATATTCCATAATGCATGTACAGTATCATAAGTCATAATTGTTTATTATTGTATAGAGTTTTTTCCAACATGTTGGGAGTCTCCTAATAAGGCAGGGTGACCCCAAAGAGAAAGAAACACTTTCACCATCATTCACACATATTCACTGTCTTTGAAGAGGTGCATAGTTATGACAGTTCAGATGTTACTCCAAACAACAAATATCCCAAACCCCTCCTTTAAAGTGTAGGCATTGTACTTTCCACCTCCAGGACTCAAGTCTGGCTAACCAGTTTCCCTGAATCCCTTCACAAAATATTACCCTGCTCACACTTCAACAGCTGGAGTTACCTGGAGAGAGTTCCGGGGGTCAACGCCCCCGTGGCCTGGTCTGTGACCAGGCCTCCTGGTGGATCAGAGCCTGATCAACCAGGCTGTTACTGCTGGCTGCATGCAATCCAATGTATGAGCCACAGCCCAGCTGGTCAGGTACCGACTTTAGGTGCTTGTCCAGTGCCTGCTTGAAGACAGCCAGGGGTCTATTGGTAATCCCCCTTATGTATGCTGGGAGGCAGTCGAACAGTCTCGGGCCCCTGACACTTACTGTATTGTCTCTTTAACGTGCTAGTGACGCCCCTGCTTTTCATTGGGGAGATGTTGCATCGTCTGCCGAGTCTTTTGCTTTCGTAGTGAGTGATTTTCGTGTGCAAGTTCGGTACTAGTCCCTCTAGGATTTTCCAGGTGTGTATAATCATGTATCTCTCCCGCCTGTGTTCCAGGGAGTACAGGTTCAGGAACTTCAAGTGCTCCCAGTAATTGAGGTGTTTTATCTCCGTTATGTGCGCCGTGAAGGTTCTATGTACATTTTCTAGGTCAGCAATTTCACCTGCCTTGAAAGGTGCTGTTAGTGTGCAGCAACATTCCAGCCTAGATAGAACAAGCGGACTGAAGAGTGTCATCATGGGCTTGGCATCCCTAGTTTTGAAGATTCTCATTATCCATCCTATCATTTTTCTAACAGATGCAACTGATACAATGTTATGGTCCTTGAAGGTGAGATCCTCCGACATGATCACTCCCAGGTCTTTGACGTTGGTTTTTCGCTCTATTTTGTGGAAGGAATTTGTTCTGTACTCTGATGAAGTTTTAATTTCCTCATGTTTACCATATCGGAGTAATTGAAATTTCTCATCGTTGAACTTCATATTGTTTTCTACAGTCCACTGAAAGATTTGGTTGATGTCCGCCTGGAGCCTTGCAGTGTCTGCAATGGAAGACAGTGTCATGCAGATTCGGGTGTCATCTGCAAAGGAAGACACAGTGCTGTGACTGACATCCTTGTCTATGTCAGATATGAGGATGAAAAACAAGATGGGAGAGAGTACTGTGCCTTGTGGAACAGAGCTTTTCACCGTAGCCGCCTCAGACTTTACTCTGTTGACTACTACTCTTTGTGTTCTGTTTGTGAGGAAATTGCAGATCCATTTACCAACTTTTCCTGTTATTCCTTTAGCACACATTTTGTGTGCTATTATGCCATTATCACACTTGCCGAAGACATTTGCAAAGTCTGTATATATTACATCTGCATTCTTTTTATCTTCTAGTGCATCTAGGACCTTGACGTAGTGATCCAGTAGCTGAGACAGACAGGAGTGACCTGCTCTAAACCCATGTTGCCCTGGGTTGTGTAACTGATGGGTATCTAGATGGGTGGCAATCTTGCTTCTTAGGACCCTTTCAAAGATTTTTATGATATGGGATGTTAGTGCTATCTGTCTGTAGTTCTTTGCTATTGCTTTACTGCCCCCTTTGTGGAGTGGGGCTATGTCTGTTGTTTTTAGTAACTGTGGGACGACCCCCATGTCCATGCTCCCTCTCCATAGGATGGTAAAAGCTCATGATAGGGGCTTCTTGCCGTTCTTGATGAACACGGAGTTCCATGAGTCTGGCCCTGGGGCAGAGTGCATGGGCATGTCATTTATCACATGTTCAAAATCATTTGGCATCAGGATAATATCAGATAGGCTTGTGTTAACTAAATTCTGTGGCTCTCTATTAAAAAATTCATTTTGATCTTCGATTCTCAGTCTGGTTAGCAGCTTGCTAAAAACTGAGTCATATTGGGACTTGAGTAGCTCACTCATTTCCTTGCTGTCATCTGTGTAGGACCCATCTTGTTTAAGTAGGGGCCCAATACTGGATGTTGTTCTCAAATTTGATTTGGCATAAGAAAAGAAATACTTTGGGTTTCTTTCGATTTCATTTATGGCTTTTAGTTCTTCCCGCAATTTCTGACTCCTATAAGATTCCTTTAGCTTAAGTTCAATGTTTGCTATTTCTCTGACCAGTGTCTCCCTACGCATTTCAGATATACTGGCCTCTTTAGCTGCTCTGTTATTCTTTTCCATCGCCTGTAAAGGGAGCACCTGTCTCTTTCTATTTTACATCTACTCCTCCTTTTTCTTAAAGGAATAAGCCTTGAGCATACATTGAGTGCCACCGAGTTAATCTGTTCTAGGCATAAGTTGGGGTCTGTGTTGCTTAGTCTATCTTCCCAACTTATTTCTTTAGGACTTGATTTACTTGGTCCCACTTTATGTTTTTGTTATTGAAGTTGAATTTGGTGAAGGCTCCCTCGTGACTAATCTCATTTTGTTGGTCTGGGGGTCCGCACATACATGTCTGAACCTCGATTATGTTGTGATCTGAGTATATTGTTTTTCATATGGTGACATTTCATATCAGATCATCATTGTTAGTGAAGATGAGGTCTAGTGTATTCTCCAGTCTAGTAGGCTCTATTATTTGCTGGTTTAAGTTGAATTTTGTGCAGAGATTTAAAAGCTCGTGTGTGTGTGAGTTCTCGTCAGAGCTGCCTCCCGGTGTTATCACTACAACCGTGATAACAGTGCAACAGTGAGCAGGGTGGCTCAAAAAAGAAAAACTTTCATCATCCTTCACTCCATCACTGTCTTTCAGTGATGGAGTCCCTTTCATCTGTCAGATACTGGTGTATTCAGTGGAGTATCATCCCCAGCATCCCATCCTGCTTATAAAATTTGTATAATACTGTAGTTATCTTAGAGACATTGTGTATGTTTTTATTACTAGTAACATACTTACTCAGGATGTATAAAGATGTGAGAGATGTGTCCAAGTTGTTCGTAGGGTGACGGGAACTTTGTGCCTCGTCGCAGAGCTCCCAGCCGTGCCACCCAATAGTTGTTGGTAGCCCTGCATAAGGAGGCAATAGTATTAGGATATATCACACCTGCAGGTTATAGTTCCTACTTCACTATTCTGGTGACTCTAAGCTATGGTTATAACACACGCACACACAAAAATACGAAACTACAAATAGTTACTCACACAATAGGTCATCATGCAATAGGTACCAAGTACAGTGGTACCTTGACTTACAAGTGTCCCAACTTATAATTTTCCGAGTTACGAGCCATCGCTCAGTCGATTTTTTGCTTTGAGTTGTGAGCCAAAATCCGAGTTACAAGCAAGCTTCAGATACATTGCCACTAGTTGGCGCAGCGAATGCCACAATATCCACCCAGCATCCCACATCACTTGTTCAGTGTACTGGTAACCTCACCATGGAAGCATCTCTCTTGCTAATCTGCGGTAGTGGTGGTGGTAGTGGTGCTGGTAGTGGTAGAAGTGGTGGTGGTGGTGGTGGCAGAAGTGGTGGTGGCAGAAGTGGTGGTGGTAGTGGTGCTGGTAGTGGTAGAGGTGGTAGAGGTGGTGGTGGTAGAGGTGGTGGTGGTAGTGGTGGTGGTGGTGGTGGCAGAAGTGGTAGAGGTGGTAGAGGTGGTGGTGGTAGAGGTGGTGGTGGTGGTAGTGGTGGTGGTAGTGGTGGGGTGGTGTGGTAGTGGTGGTGGTAGAGGTGGTAGTGGTGGTAGTGGTGGTGGTGGTGGTAGAGGTGATGGTGGTAGTGGTGGTGGTGGCAGAAGTGGTGGTGGTAGTGGTGGTGGTAGTGGTGGTGGTAGTGGTGGTGGTAGTGGTGGTGGTGGCAGAAGTGGTGGTGGTAGAGGTGGTGGTAGTGGTGGTGGTAGTGGTGGTGGTAGAGGTGGTAGTGGTGGTAGAGGTGGTGGTGGTAGAGGTGGTGGTGGCAGTGGTGGTGGTAGAGGTGGTAATGGTGGTAGAGGTGGTGCTGGTAGAGGTGGTGGTGGTAGAGATGGTGGTGGCAGTGGTGGTGGTAGAGGTGGTAGTGGTGGTAGAGTTGGTGGTGATAGTGGTGGTGGTGGTAATGGGTAGTGGTGGTGGTGGTAGAGGCGGTGGTGGTAGAGGTGGTGGTGGAGGCGGTGGTGGTGGTGGTAGAGGTGGTAGTGGTGGTGGTAGATGTGGTGGTGGTGATAGAGGTGGCGGTGGTAGAGGTGGTGGTGGTGGTAGTGGTGGTGGTAGAGGTGGTGGTGGTAGAGGTGGTGGGGTAGAGGTGGTGGTAGTGGTGGTGGTGGTAGAGGTGGTGGTGGTAGAGGTGGTGGTGGTAGTGGTGGTGGTGGTAGAGGTGGTGGTGGTAGAGGTGGTGGTGGTAGTGGTGGTGGTCGTAGTTGTGGTGGTGGTAGAGGTGGTGGTGGTAGAGGTGGTGGTAGTGGTGGTGGTAGTGGTGGTGGTAGAGGTGGTAGTGGTGGTAGAGGTGGTGGTGGTAGAGGTGGTGGTGGCAGTGGTGGTGGTAGAGGTGGTAATGGTGGTAGAGGTGGTGCTGGTAGAGGTGGTGGTGGTAGAGATGGTGGTGGCAGTGGTGGTGGTAGAGGTGGTAGTGGTGGTAGAGTTGGTGGTGATAGTGGTGGTGGTGGTAATGGGTAGTGTGGTGGTGGTAGAGGCGGGGGTGGTAGAGGTGGTGGTGGAGGCGGTGGTGGTAGAGGTGGTAGTGGGGGTGGTAGAGGTGGTAGTGGTGGTAGAGGTGGTGGTGGTAGAGGTGGTGGTGGCAGTGGTGGTGGTAGAGGTGGTAATGGTGGTAGAGGTGGTGCTGGTAGAGGTGGTGGTGGTAGAGATGGTGGTGGCAGTGGTGGTGGTAGAGGTGGTAGTGGTGGTAGAGTTGGTGGTGATATGGTGGTGGTGGTAATGGGTAGTGGTGGTGGTGGTAGAGGCGGTGGTGGTAGAGGTGGTGGTGGAGGCGGTGGTGGTAGAGGTGGTAGTGGTGGTGGTAGATGTGGTGGTGGTGATAGAGGTGGCAGTGGTAGAGGTGGTGGTGGTGGTAGTGGTGGTGGTAGAGGTGGTGGTGGTAGAGGTGGTGGTGGTAGAGGTGGTGGTGGTAGAGGTGGTGGTAGTGGTGGTGGTGGTAGAGGTGGTGGTGGTAGAGGTGGTGGTGGTAGTGGTGGTGGTGGTAGAGGTGGTGGTGGTAGAGGTGGTGGTGGTAGTGGTGGTGGTCGTAGTTGTGGTGGTGGTAGAGGTGGGGGTTGGTAGAGGTGGTGGTGGTAGAGGTGGTGGTGATAGAGGTGGTGGTGGTAGAGGTGGTGGTGGTAGAGGTGGTGGTGGTAGAGGTGGTGGTGGTAGAGGTGGTGGTGGTGGTAGAGGTGGTGGTGGTGGTAGAGGTGGTGGTGGTGGTAGAGGTGGTGGTGGTGGTAGAGGAGGAGGAGGAGGAGGAAGAGGAGGAGATGGTGGTAGTGGTGGCGGCGGTTGTGGTGGTGGCAGCGGCAGCGGCGGCAGTAGTGGTGGCGGCGGTGTAACAAGTAAGTAAAGCAATTAAGCGATTGAGTTTATGACGAGCAAAAGCGACCACCCTCCACCTCTGCCAGCATCTTCTGTTAGCTCATGTCCTCTGATCTCCAAGGTAATTACACTTTATAAAACCAGTTTATTTCTTTACATTCTCTTTTATTATGTTTTATACAACATTTCTTATTTATAAATATATTTTTCTTGTTTAAAAACCCATAACAAAAATACTGGGGTGGTTTTTTGGAAGCTGGAACCTGTAATGGCATTTCAATTAATTTCAATGAGAAAAATTGATTTGATATATGAGAAAACTGAATTACGAGCTCGGTCACTCGTAAGTCAAGGTACCACTGTAATTATACAACAGAAATCGGACTGTAATACTGTTGTAAGGAAAGAGAGAATTAAGTTAATAAAAGAATCCTAATATATAAATTTAAAAATTATAATGGATACAAAAGAGCTTGAAATGAGTTTATTTACTATGATAAGAAGAGAAGAGAAGAGAAGAGAAGAGAAGAGAAGAGAAACTTCAAAAAAAAAAAAAGAAAAATTGCAGAAGAATAACACAGCCTAATTGTTAAATTTGTGAAGAATATGTTAAATGCATATGGTAAAACACAAAGAATTAAGGATAGTGACAATATAGTTATTTTCAGAAGAGAAAAGGTAAGTGAAACAATAAATTTCTTAAGCGTATCTAGAGACAAAATTGAGTTTAAAAATGAGGAATAAAAGTGACAGTACATACTCTGGTTGGAGGAAATTCACATATAGGCCAGAATTTGGAAAGGAAAGAGCAGACAACATTTTGGTCCATCTTAGATCACTATCTCAATTTGATAATGGTCCAGGACAGACTGGAAGATTATCCAAAGTCAATTTCTAAGTTGCAGATTAAAAGTGACTGAAGATGAGGCTTTATACTCATTCTTCTTGCAACATCTCTTAATAAAAATTCCTATAAATTCCAAGGACTAAAATATAAAGTATTTGACCATCTTTGCTAAGACTGATTACTGAAATGAAAAACAAAAAAAGTCACCAGGCCACAGAAGGAAGGAATGAAAAAAGTATTAAACCCAGATAGATCATTTAACACTGAGGTGATCATGGAGGACTCACCCATAGAAGCAGTGGCCAGCAGAAACAAGCCACTGATGGTTGATAAGTGTGGCACCACACTGATATTCACCTTCCTTGTAGAGGGCAGCATGCCATGGCCAAGACCCCAGTCCACTGTTGTTGCCCCCCACAATCCTAAACACATAACACTCTTGGTCAATTTAAAGATACGTGATTTATGTTAATTCTTGAAAACACTGAATATAGTACTTGCCGAATTAAAGTGTATCGTTATCTTTATGGCGCTTTTTTGCCCTGAAGGGCAAATGTACTTGGGAGAGCCAGCCATTCTTAGTTTTGTGTAATAATATTTTGCATGCACTTGCATACTAACATATCCTATTACATAAATATTATATAAATAATATCTCTTGTCATTTGTATTCTATAATAATGTAATGATTAAAACAAGCCTTCTTAAGTATGATAAATATCTATGTACTGTGTGATCTTCATAATTTCTCATAAGCCTATAATAATGCTGTTTTGATCACTGACCTTATTCTGTCAGATGATCACCTATGAACTCAATCATTTTACATTAAAAATAATTTTTTAACACAACTGCTGTTTCCCACTGAGGCACGGTGACCCAAAGATGAAGAAATGTAAAGTTTCTTCTTTTTACATTTAGTAATTTATACAGAAGAGGTTACTAGCCCCTTGCTCCCAGCATTTTAGTTGCCTCTTACAACACACATGGCTTACGGAGGAAGGATTCTTCTCCACTTCCCTATATGTACTAATTTTTCAATTATGCCCTCTTTCCAAAGGATGAGGGAGGTGTTCTTTTTCTCTTACCTCTCCCTACCTCCTTGAATTCATAATTACATTGAAATATATTTTTAAATAATTCTGTAATGCTGAAGAGCAGTTCAAGAGCAGGACAATGCTAGTCATGTGTGAGCCAGACAAAGGATGAACCCTGGAAACCAGAGAATTATGTAGTGCATATTATAGTTAGTTTTGAAGATGATTCATTTTATTCTATTAAGAGTTGTGTCAAGAGCATCTGACACCTGTCTTATCTATAAATTTTATTGATGAATAATCTCCTTTTATTAATTTAGAAGTTGTAGATTTTCCCTATATTATAAATTTCAGTTCCAAAAAAAATAGTTGTAAAACTCAGCTGGTGGAAAAAACTCATGAAGTGCATGCATAACTAACTTTCCAGTAATTTATAATGAACACTCTAACAATTCAAGAGATTAAAATAAAAATAATAGTCCACTTTCCATATACAATTACAACACACAATCTCTATATAATTTTTAAAACATGCCATTTCTTCTTTACTTTATTGATTAAGAGTCTACCTTATTAGACTAAGCTAAGAGTAAAATAAAATCCAGTAACCTTGTCATATCTTTTTTTTTTCTTTTAACACACCGGCCGTATCCCACCGAGGCGGGGTGGCCCAAAAGGAAAAACGAAAGTTTCTCCTTTTACATTTACTAATATATATACAGGAGAAGGGGTTACTAGCCCCTTGCTCCTGGCATTTTAGTCACCTCTTACAACACGCATGGCTTACGGAGGAAGAATTCTGTTCCACTTCCCCATGGAGGTAAGAGGAAATAAACAAGAACAAGAACTATTAAGAAAATAGAAGAAAACCCAGCGGGGTGTGTATATATATATGCTTGTACATATATGTGTAGTGTGACCTAAGTGTAAGCAGAAGTAGCAAGACGTACCTGAAACCTTGCGTGTTTGTGAGACAGAAAAATGGACACCAGCAATCCTACCATCATGTAAAACAATTACAGGCTTTTGTTTTACACTCACTTGGCAGGACGGTAGTACCTCCCTGGGCGGTTGCTGTCTACCAACCTACTACCTAGGACTCATATATATCATCACACAGATTTAAGAATAAGTACAAAAGGGCCCAAGAGGCTAGGAGAGAGTGAATCTGGCAAGTAGCAAGTTGAGAGGTAAGGGCGAGAGCTAAGACTTGGCCCCAGCAACCACATACAGGTGGGTACTGCATATAGGTGAATATGCACACAGGCAGGGCCAGGAGCTAAAACTCAAACCCTGCAACCAAATACTATATATATATTTTTTTTTTATTATTATCACACTGGCCGATTCCCACCAAGGCAGGGTGGCCCGAAAAAGAAAAACTTTCACCATCATTCACTCCATCACTGTCTTGCCAGAAGGGTGCTTTACACTACAGTTTTTAAACTGCAACATTAACACCCATCCTTCAGAGTGCAGGCACTGTACTTCCCATCTCCAGGACTCAAGTCCGGCCTGCCGGTTTCCCTGAATCCCTTCATAAATGTTACTTTGCTCACACTCCAACAGCACATCAAGTATTAAAAACCATTTGTCTCCATTCACTCCTATCAAACACGCTCACGCATGCCTGCTGGAAGTCCAAGCCCCTCGCACACAAAACCTCCTTTACCCCCTCCCTCCAACCTTTCCTAGGCCGACCCCTACCCCGCCTTCCTTCCACTACAGACTGATACACTCTTGAAGTCATTCTGTTTCGCTCCATTCTCTCTACATGTCCGAACCACCTCAACAACCCTTCCTCAGCCCTGTGGACAACAGTTTTGGTAATCCCGCACCTCCTCCTAACTTCCAAACTACGAATTCTCTGCATTATATTCACACCACACATTGCCCTCAAATATGACATCTCCACTGCCTCCAGCCTTCTCCTCGCTGCAACATTCATCACCCACGCTTCACACCCATATAAGAGCGTTATATATATATACAATGGACCCCCGCATAACGATTACCTCCCAATGCGACCAATTATGTAAGTGTATTTATGTAAGTGCGTTTGTACGTGTATGTTTGGGGGTCTGAAATGGACTAATCTACTTCTCAATATTCCTTATGGGAACAAATTCGGTCAGAACTGGCACCTGAACATACTTCTGGAATGAAAAAATATCGTTAACCGGGGGTCCACTGTATATATATATATATATACATATATATATATGCAAAACAACCACTCTGAAAGAATAGAGAAATTCCAAGCGCTTTCGTGACTACTCACATTATCAAGGAACTACGATAATGTGAGTAGTCACGAAAGCGCTTGGAATTTCTCTATTCTTTCAGAGTGGTTGTTTTGCATATTTTGAAATCACCTGTTCACTGTGATCTTATTGCACACACACACACACACACACACACACACATATATATATATATATATATATATATATATATATATATATATATATATATATATATATATATATATACATGTATATACATATATATATATATATATATATATATATATATATATATATATATATATATATATATATATATATATATATATATATATTATATATATATATATACATAGGCAAGTACATACACATACAAATCTCTTTGACAGCACTACTCTGAAGTGTTTTAGTTGGGTGTTAAAGGAAGCATAACAAAAACTGTACTATAAAAGTTCTGTTAGTGTGGTAAGTTGTAAAGGGAAAGAGAAAGATCATTTTTTCAAAACTTTGTATTAAAGGTGTTATGCTGAAGTTTGGGGTAATAATTCTGTCCCCAAGTTTATACTGTACGTATACGTGTAATTTAAACAGAACACTCTTCTTGCTATTAAATATACAGTAGTTATTTTAAACCCTAAATATTATTCATATTTATTAATTTAGTGTCACAAATGCTAAGTTACAATACCTGGGCAGGAAAAATAAGTATAAGTGATGATGGTTTACGACAGACCTAACAATCATTTATTTTCACATCAAAGCTGTGGGATACTTGTAAATTAGTGTCCTATATCAAATTATTGCTCAAAATAAAAAAATGCAGGTCAGTAAATTAAAAACCTTTACTACATTTATAATAAAACAAATGAGGATACATATTTCTAAATATATATACTGTAATAGGCTCAAAAGTATAGTATACGTATATATAGGATAATTTTTTCCAGTCTCAAAAATCACATCCTATAGGATTTTAGCATGATAAGTACTAGAAATATGTTAAAATTACAAGTACTGTACAGACAAACTGGGGAAGATGAGCTTGTTTCTATTTATGTAAGGTGCTAAAGCCACGTGTATTATACAGTGCAAGGAGTCAAGGAGGCTACATTCTCTGTCTAACAACAGGAAAGGCATGCTGTCATTCAGAGCCATAAGTGGTGTGTGTGTAGAGAGCAGTACAGTGGAAGAAGACTGAAATTCTGTCAGGACTAGATGTAGCTAAACAATTTTACACTTTTTTATACTCTTGATGCTCTATTTGGGCCCTTAACAAAAATAACATATCCTTGACTAGAAGCTTAACCAAGCATAATTAACTTTAGAAATCAAAGTATTAGTTTTTAAGGTAGGTTTTGATGACTATATCCATTTTAGGTCATGTTACATCAGAGTCAAACCTAGTCCTGATGATTTTTATTTAGGCACTTCTAAACAAAGTAGGGAAATATTTGGGTAAGATTGAGAAGTGAATACCTACCGTGGCTGTCGCAGACTCCCACTTCTGTAATACCTGCAAAGTTCAATAATTGAAGGAGTATATCTAGAACAAGACAAGAGGAACCTAGAGGAAAAGATAAGCTTGGAAGGAGACAATGAATCAGTTTTGAATAGAAAGGTACAGATTAACAAAGTGTTATCTCAACTAGAAATGTTATACAACTCCTATTGCAGCAACTTGATGAGTTTAAATATAACAATAAATGTAGTTTATGAGAGAAATTAATGATTAATGCAATCAATTTATAAGTGCCAGAATGCTTTATAAAGAATGCCAAAATACAAGCATAGATTAAAAGATTAGATGCCAGAGCAATTTCACTGAGCTGGCATACATATAAAGCAAATGTTGCTGGGCATTTCACATTGAAATTTTTATTCACACACTCAACAAACATTTACAGTAAGAGGTGACTATGAGCCTCACAACATCAGATTAGTGCATGTCAGCTAGTATCTATCTGTTATAGTTGTATGGCTCATACAGTGAGATTAATTTAATTCCAGCAACATCAAACACAATGACAGAATGTACACAAACTGTACTTGTAGTAGTTCTTCAATCATACTGTCTGTACAGTGGAGCCTCTACTTATGAGTGCCTCCACATGCAAGTTTTTCCAGATACGAGCAGTCACTCGGTCGATTTTTTTTGCTTCCAGACGCAAGCGAAATTTCCAGATGCGAGCGGGCCTCAAAGGAGGTTCCTTGACGCTGGTGAGGGGCTCTTGCTCTTGATCTAGGGAAGTGGATCTCAGTTGTTTGTTGGATTATCTTATTGAAACTTGGGCAATGTATGATGGAAAGATGCTTCTTATTGTACACCAAAAATGAAAGAAATCGGACCATAAATGATGGAGTTCACTTCTCAGCCATTAGCCTCCCCTTAGCGGTATATTTTCACATGGTTTTTATGGTTGTATTCTCGTTTTTTTGGTCTCATTTGATAGAAAGGAAGATATGCTAGAGAAATAGATATAATTTTGATAGGTTTCACGACGAAAAGTACCTTGAATTTGAGACAGCATGAAGCAGCAGTGGCAGACAACATGAAGCAGCAGTGGCAGACATTATGAAGCAGCAGTGGCAGACATCATGAAGCAGCAGTGGCAGACATCATGAGGTAGCAGTGGCAGACAACATGAAGTAGCAGTGCCAAAGTGTAGTATTAAGAGTGTAACACTTATAAGTCACTCTGTCTGACTTTTTTGGGCTATCCTAGGTTCTCTATACATGTAGTCAGGAGCAGGAATGGCCACTGTGGTGGCCCTATAAACCCTAACAATAACAATGGCCGCTGTCACCACCACTAGTCACATACGTAATGACATGTTTTTAATTCATTCTAGTGTATATATCATGTTTCTATGTTATTAATCCCCTCAAGGAAGGTTCCTTGATGTTGGTGAGGGGCTCTTGATTTAGGGAATTGGATCTGTGCTCCAGTTCTCCGAATTAAGCCTGAATGCCTTCCAAATCCCCCCCCCAGGCACTGTATAATCCTCCGGGTTTAGCGCTTCCCCCTTGATTATAATAATAATAATATGTTATTAATATTGTTTATTATGTCACATTACATGAACTGTATTATGGCATAATAAAACGAGTAAATCCAGATGCGAGCAAAGTCATGGAATGGATTAAACTCGTAAGTAGAGGTTCCACTGTAATTTTCATTAATTTTGTTCCAGAGGCACATAAGATTCATTTGTTATAAATAAAGCAGCTGATGCAATTACCACGAAATTATTTTACTGTAATTTTCATTAAGGTTCTCAAAAGTATGAGCCATTAATGAAAAATTACAATACAGACAGAAAAAATAAGTGCGGTAATGATTAAGAATTCCATATATATATATATATATATATATATATATATAAATATATATATATATATATATATATATATATATATATATATATATATATATATATATATATATATATATATACATATATATATATACATATATGTATATGCATGCTAGTGCATTAAGAAACTGAAAGATACAGAAAATGCCTTTTTGGCTACTGAAGGTGGTATAGTAAATGGCCCAAGTCAGACCGAAACATCGTCATAAGTTTCAGTCTCCTACATGCAGGTTATTTGTGCATTGTTCTGGTCATGGTAATGTGCCTTTCTATTCTTTCTTAATGTGAAGATTTTGGTACAGTTGATACAGTGTTAATCTGAAGGTACAACAAACTAAGGTACATACTAAAGAAGTCTCAAAAATCATGCCATGATTAGACGTCACGAAAAAGTCAGGAATGGACAGATACACTATATGCAGCTCCTCCAGTTCTGGCTTGCATAATTCATTTAAGAAAACTGTGTCAGTGAGCTGTACTACTGAAACCCTTATAGGTACTGTACACGTACTCAGGCTCTCATGTACCATCTTATTCATTAATTTAACTTGTCTTATCTCAGTCCTTCCTTTATCAACAAAAGTTGCTTTTAACCCTTAAACTGTCCAAACGTAGATCTACGTTTTTTCAACAATTGAAAGTATGTAAAAAAACGTAGACCTTCTTTTTTTTTTTTTTACATTTGAAAATGTGTAAAAAAACTTTGATCTACATTTTTTTTTTGTTATACTTGAAAATATGTAAAAAAACGTAGATCTACTTTTGGAGCTCTACGCATGTGAACGTAGATCTGTTTGGACAGTTAAAGGGTTAATATTATTTCCTGCACACTCAGGCTGTTTTATGCAGGTGACATACATTAATGATGCTCTCTGTTCTACATATTCAAAATTTCTTAAGTCTGTTTTATGTATAGTGTGCTATGTCAAAAAAAGTGTCTAAAACAAGTACATGTACTGCACATTTTGTTCGAGAAAATAATTACATAGGTACAGTAATTAATATTTTATATTTTGCACTCTGCCTCAGCAGACTGATAGCAAAGAACTACAGACCAATAGCACTAACATCCCATATCATAAAAATCTTTGAAAGGGTCCTAAGAAGCAAGATCGCCACCCATCTAGATACCCATCAGTTACACAACCCAGGGCAACATGGGTTTAGAGCAGGGCGCTCCTGTCTGTCCCAACTACTGGATCACTACGACAAGCTCCTAGATGCACTAGAAGACAAAAAGAATGCAGATGTAATATATACAGACTTTGCAAAAGCTTTCGACAAGTGTGACCATGGCGTAATAGCGCACAAAATGCGTGCTAAAGGAATAACAGGAAAAGTTGGTAGATGGATCTATAATTTCCTCACAAACAGAACATAAAAAGTAGTAGTCAACAGAGTAAAGTCTGAGGCGGCTACGGTGAAAAGCTCTGTTCCACAAGGCACAGTACTCGCTCCCATCTTCTCATCCTCATATCTGACATAGACAAGGATGTCAGCCACAGCACCATGTCTTCCTTTGCAGATGACACTCGAATCTGCATGACAGTGTCTTCCATTGCAGACACTGCAAGGCTCCAGGTGGACATCAACCAAATCTTTCAATTGGCTGCAGAAAACAATATGAAGTTCAACGATGAGAAATTTCAATTACTCAGATATGGTAAACACGAGGAAATTAAAACTTCATCGGAGTGCAAAACAAATTCCGGCCAAAAAATAGAGCGAAAAACCAATATCAAACACCTGGGAGTGATCATGTCGGAGGATCTCACCTTCAAGGACCATAACATTGTATCAATCGCATCTGCTAGAAAAATGACAGGATGGATAATGAGAACCTTCAAAACTAGGGATGCCAAGCCCATGATGACACTCTTCAGGTTGTTTGTTCTATCTAGGCTGGAATATTGCTGCACACTAACAGCACCTTTCAAGGCAGGTGAAATTGCTGACCTAGAAAATGTACAGAGAACCTTCACGGTGCACATAACGGAAATAAAACACCTCAATTACTGGGAGCGCTTGAAGTTCCTGAACCTGTACTCCCTGGAACGCAGGCGGGAGAGATACATGATTATATACACCTGGAAAATCCTAGAGGGACTAGTACCGAACTTGCACATGAAAATCACTCACAACGAAAGCAAAAGACTCGGCAGATGATGCAACATCCCCCTACTGAAAAGCAGGGGTGTCACTAGCACGTTAAGAGACAATACAATAAGTGTCAGGGGCCCAAGACGGTTCAACTGCCTCCCAGCAGTGCCTGTCTTCAAGCAGGCACTGGACAAGCACCTAAAGTCGGTACCTGACCAGCCGGGCTGTGGCTCGTACGTTGGATTGCGTGCAGCCAGCAGTAACAGCCTGGTTGATCAGGCTCTGATCCACCGGGGCATTGGCCCCTGGAACTCTCTCCAGGTAAACTCCAGGTAAACACAGTGGAAGATTTCCTGTGTTTTTAAAAATTGTATTTTTGACCTGAGCATCCTTTATCAATCAATCAACCAAGTTTATTCTCTATAAGGATTACAATGCGGGGTTTACAGATTTTGTTTTTTGTGTGGTTTACATGTAATAAAATACTAATTACAGAGGGGGCCACTAGGACACCTAGCATGGCTAGGCATTTCAGGCAAACTTAGATAAATTCTTAACCCTAAATTATTACAAATTATGGAGTAAGTTGACTAAATACTAAGTGACTAAATACTAGTTTGTGAGTTTAGCAATGTGAATGCTTTTGTTTTGGCACAATACATAGTTTCTACATTGGAGTATCACAGGCAAACTTATGACTAGTTAGGAATCATTATTTTAAGATTAAGATTCTTATTTCTGTGCTTATAGTCAAATGGGTGAGTGAGTGAGTGTAAGTGTGAACCACCAGGTGGTTTTTATGTAGTTAGTTGACGGGGTGTATCAGGGAGATAAGATGTTTTCTAACAGTAGTTTTGAAGGTGATGAATGTGTCTGCAGTTCTAGAGTTTTCAGTAGGGTGTTCCAGATTTTAGGGCCTTTGACATACATTGAATTTTTGTAAAGGTTTAGTCGGACACGAGGAATATCATAGAGATTTTTGTGTCTGGTGTTATGCCTGTGGGCTCTGTCACAACTATCAAGAAAGCATTTTAGGTCAAGGTTAATATTGGAATTTAAGGTCCTGTAGATGTAGATTGCACAGTAGTAAGTGTGGATGTTCTGAACAGGGAGTAAGTTTAGATCTATGAAGAGTGGGGGGGTGTGTTGCCAGGGATGGGATTTAGTGATTATTCTTACTGCTGCTTTTTGTTGGGTTATTATTGGCTTTAGGTGTGTTGCTGCAGTTGATCCCCAAGCACAAATAGCATAGGTGAGGTATGGATAAATGAGTGAATGGTATAGTGTGAGAAGGGCATTTTGCGGCACGTAGTATCGTATCTTGGAGAGGATCCCAACTGTTTTGGATACTTTTTTTGTTATGTGTTGGATATGGGTGCTGAAATTCAGGTTGTTGTCGAGGTATAGGCCTAGGAATTTGCCCTTATTATGTCTAGCAATTAGAGTGTTGTCGATCTTAATGTTAAGTTGCGCAACACCAAACATAATATACGTAGTAGGTTTTGTCAGTGTTAAGTGTAAGTTTATTGGCTGTCATCCAAGTCGATATTTTAAGCAGCTCCTCATTAACAATGGTGTTGAGGGTGGCAAGATTAGGGTGAGAGATGCCATAAGTCGTGTCGTCAGCAAAGATAATGGGTTTCAGGTGTTGGGATACGTTTGGAAGATCACTGATGTAAATGAGGAAGAGCAGGAGTCCAAGAACACTTCCCTGTGGAACTCCAGTATCAAGTGGCCATGTTGATGATGCTGTGTCTTTAATGGTGACATACTGATACCTATTAGTAAGGTAGGATTTGAAATATGCAAGCGCATGGCCTCTTATACCATAATGGTCAAGTTTGTGGAGTAGGATGCTGTGGTCTACTGTGTCAAAAGCTTTTCTTAGGTCAATAAAAATTCCTAGCAGATATTCCTTATTTTCCAATGCTGTGTAAAGCAGATCTAGAATTTTTAACATTGCATCATTAGTGCTTTTATTTTTCCTGAATCCAAATTGGCAGGGGTTAAGTATGTTTTGTGTCATTATAAATGAATATAGTCTCCTGTGCACAAGTTTCTCGAAGATTTTGGAAAGCAATGGTAAGTTTGATATTGGCCTATAGTTGTTTACATCTGTAGGGTCACCACCTTTATGTACTGGTGTAACCCTTGCTGTCTTGAGTAGTTTCAGGAAGGTGCTAGTTTCTAGTGACTTGTTAAAAAGTAATGAAATAGTATGCAAAAGGACATGGGCCGCTCGCCTGTACAATAATGGTGGGACATGAGACAGATTCCCTGAGTTATTTTTAAGTAACTTTATAATTTTGGTGACTTCGGTGGGCTCAGTTGGTACAATACACAAATAACCCGCACATAAAAGAGAGAAGCTTACGACGACGTTTCGGTCCGACTTGGACCATTGACAAAGTCAATGTGACTTTGTCAATGGTCCAAGTCGGACCGAAACGTCGTCGTAAGCTTCTCTCTTTTATGTGCGGGTTATTTGTGTATCGTTCCAGTCACGGTATTGTGCCTTTTTTGTTATCAGTTGGTACAAGATAGAAGGAATTTGGGAAATTCCCATCTAGGTAGTCCCCGGCATGGGCATTGGTACGTGGGATTTTACTGGCAAGATTAGATCCTATGGTTGAGAAGTCGTTTATCTAGTTAGCTGTATCAATGGGATGCAGTGGTGTTTCATTAGGTTTAGTTAGGACAATATTCTTGTTTTTTTTCAGTTTGTGGGTGCCCAGAATCTGGGAGAGTGTTTTCCAGGTCTTTTTTATATCTCTTCTTGTGTCAGTGAATCTGCTGGAGTAGTACAGTTGTTTGGCTTTCTTTATTACTTTGGTGAGAACTGATGAATAGTGTTTAAGAATATCTTTGTGTATTAATGTCTACATTGCTTTTCATATTGGTGTTTCTTATCAATGGATTTCGGAATGCTGGTGGTTAGCCATGGGCAACCGAGCCGTTTATTCGTGATCTGTTTCGTTTTTATAGGACGATGTTTGTTGTATAGTCTAAGTAATTTGTTAAGAAAAATGTCTGTCCAATCGTCAGTACCATTGGCCTTGAATTCTGTAGGCCAGTCAAAAGTCTCTAGGTCTTCTGTGAACTTCCTAATTGAGGCCTCGTCACAGAGTCTAAATGAAACTTTGTTTTACTCCAGTGGTGGTTTACTAATGTTTGTTAAGAGGAAGGTAGGGTAGTGGTCTGTAGTGCTGTCTGTGATTATCCCTGATTTAAGGGGGGCTAGTATATTGGTCCATATATGGTCTATTATGGTTGCGCTTGTCTCAGAGAGCCTGGTTAGTTCAGTTATTGTTGGTATGAGAAGTGTGTTGTTCATATTGTTGATGAAATCAGTTACAGGCTGATCATCTAGTAGGCCAAGGTTGATATTGAAGTCTCCAGCTAAGAGAAGGTGGTGCTTGTTCATTTGTCTGTTTGTTATTAGTGCCTTTAATTTCTCACTGAAATTTGGGATGTTTGTGTGGGGTATCCGGTAAATGGCACCGATTGTTATAGGCGTCTTAAGGTTTTTTACAGTAAAATTAGCAAAAATGTATTCCCCATATTCATCACTAAAGCAAGTGGTGCTAATACAAGATAGTTGGTTAGAGTAATAGATTGCAATACCACCCCCAACTTGGTATGGTCTGCAGTTGTGGATTGCTGTTTATCTTGGCAGAGGGTAGATATCTATTGTGTCCTGCTTAAGCCAGGTCTCAGTAAGAATAATGCAGGAGAAGGGTGTCTTTAGTGACTCAAGGAGTGCCAGGAGGTCATCATAGTGTTTGCTTAAGGACCTGATGTTGTAGTTAAGAACTGATAGATTTTTAGCACTGTTTAGGATAGTGCTGGCTTGTGATGCTGTGTAATAAAGGCAGTTACATTCCAGTAGGTTTTGATTGGGTGTTAGATTATGGAGGTTAAGATCAGGTTCGACTTGAATGTGACTACTGTATACAATTCAACATCCAACCCTACCTAGAGTCCAACCTTACTCTCTTGCACTCACCCCCCATTTTCATACAAAATTACCTCACTAGCTGGACAGCCCTATCTCTCTGCACTTCAACATGTACTTAATTCATAAACTGCTCACCAGGAAACAATATAGCACTGTGTTACAACATTCATGGATCCCTTGCTCCTGACTCCCTAACATTCAGGGGTTATTACAAAATGTTGTAGATACAGTTTTTATAACTGTTCAAACTTAAAAAATTAAATAAATCTTCACTGCCTAAAAATCTGTTGAGAACTGTATAACCTATATAATTAATATTAGTGAGAGCAACTACTTACCTAGCGCGGTGACTGATGGCACGAGGCCTCATGCCACACTGGAGATTGGAGCATGTAACCCTCACCACATCTCTCTTTGGACAGCTCGTTTTCTCAAACTCCAGTGACAGCCTCAAGTCAGTGACAGTCTCTCCCTGGGACAGTGAGCGAGCACGGGATGGCAGTGTGAGTGAGTTGGTTATGTGAATTTCATAGTAAGTTGGAGAAATTACAATGTCTGGAGAGGAGCTGGTCCGTGCCATGTTGGTTGGATAGCCAGGAAGACGAGGTGCTGCGCGGGTAAAAAGCGTTTGGTCTTTCTGCCTCTCCACCCGTGTGAAGTCACTGTTAATGTGTAAAAAAAATTAATAAGGAAACAACTGGCATTTATACAAAAATATATTTTAATGATTAGAGAATGTCTGAATGTGCATTCATTAATATACAGTATAGGACACTGTATACACAATGTATATCACCTCCAAAGCAAAGTCTAGTTTTCCAAAATCTCCAATTTATGATGACTGCCCTAACCAAAAATTTAAAATTAATTCAATTATTTGGGAGAAAATAAAGATAATTTAGAAAATTAGGGACAAAACATTAGTGACATTTACTTGAAGGTTAGAGTTTTACAAACAGCCTGGCCAAGGTCAGACACGGTCCAAGATGTGTCAGCATGAGAGGTGACCTGCTCAAAATTCTCCAGACACAGCTTCCCCCACACCCCCTTTTTGCGGACCATCAGGTACCCTACCAATGTGAGAGTTTAGGATTAGTATATGTTGTTTGATTAACCCTTAAACGGTCCAAACAGATCGACATTCAAATTCGTATTGCTACAAAAGTAAATCTACTTTTTTTACATATTTTCAAATATAACAAAAAAAAAGTAGATAAAAGTTTTTTTTACACGTTTTCAAATGTAAAACAAAAAAGAAGATCTACGTTTTTTTACATACTTTCAGATGTTGAAAAAACGTATATATACTTTTGGACCATTTAAGGGTTAATCAGAGTAAAAGAAGGAAGTCTATCCATACACGTTAATCTAGCTCCTCAGCTACACAAACTTACTGTATATAAAATGTTTTGCAAATTTTACTCTCATGTTTAGCCTGGTGTCTAAAATTGATACCTAAAAAAGAATAGGTCACAATAGCCTTGGAACAATTCACAAATAACCCATTTATTGAGAGGAAACCTTAAACAATGTTTTGGTCAGTCCTGGACCTTTATCAAGTTGCTACTTAACAACAGTCCAGGACGGATTGAAACTTTGTCTAGAATTTTTTCTCAAAAATATGGGTTATTGGTGTATTAATACTTGAACTAATTATATCTTGATGAACATATTTTGTGGTTGTTTGGCATTCATGTGTGATGTTTATTTTCCAGAGTATCCCAAATAATTATCTATCTAAAGCTACAGGAGCAGAATTAAGCTCATAGTGTCCTGAAATTAAATCAAAAGAGACTACAGACAGGCTAACTATTTTTTACTAGTTTGTGTAGTTAAACATCTCACAAAAATTAAAACTGCAGAAGAAATCATTAGCTGTACATACAATGAAAGCTATAAATATAATGTAATATAACCTTCATGGTGATAATCAAGAGAATTGGCAGAGTTGAGGTCTTGGGCAAGGGTGACACAGATCTTCTCGTCATCACCACTCTCACAGTCAGTAGTGCCGTCACACACCTGGCTCTGCTCGATGCACTGACTCGACCCAGAGCAGATAAACTGACCAGGCTGGCACCAGTCTGCCAAGTGTAAGAAGATGGGACTAGCTTACTATAATTACCTGGACACTTTTGGGGATGTATTTTGATATACAGCTACAGTATACTGTACTTTAAATTGCTGTATGTACTGAAATACATGATACTTAAAATATAGTTTTCTGATTAAGTGTCCTTGATACCCTTCGAGAAATTTAAAATATAAGTTTACTGTACGGATACATAAATAAATTCTACGTACAGTACAAGTATACACTAAGTCTCGAGGTTAAGCCTCAAGCAAGCCTAACAGTGGGAATAGCAATTTCCAGATAGATAATTGAGCCTCTAGCAGTCCTTTCACTGAATGACCTACACAGGTGTAATGCTTCATAAAAATTAATTGTAATAATTATAATAATAATGATACAGCACTATAACTGTAAAAAAAAAAATATGAAAATAGAAAGATAATAAAACAAAATCATCTGTTGCTGATGCTTGATATAACTAGAGAAACGTAGTACGTACAAAAAACTATGGAGAGTGGATGCAATGATAACCCGAGAGAGAGGCAGTATTAATAACCAAAGAGAAACTAATAACAACCAGAGAATGAAGAGACAGCAGAAGTAATAATAAAAGTGCCTTAATAATCACTATAGAGGTAGAGAGGATCTGCAGCAGCCTAACATCTTACCACAGTTAGACTCATCAGAGTGGTCCCAGCAATCAACAATGCCATCACAAATTTTCCTGTTGAGGAACTTGCTCTTGAGGAAGTCAGAGCAGGTGCAATTCATCTCATCTGAGTTATCACGACAGTCCTGCATCAGGTTGCAGCGGGAGAACTCGACAATACATTCACCACTCCCACACCGGAACTGTGATGGGTTCCGGCACACTAGGATGGTCAACATATGATGGTCGTTTTATTAATACAAGTTCTATTACTGCAGGTATGCATTGCATACTAGTTGCTTTTTTGGTGCCTAACTTTTTTTTATTACAAGTACGTAAACTATATTATCTTTGTACGGCATAAATGAAACATACTGGGATGTGGTTTGTTTAAGTAAATACATGTATATGGTTGTCTTGAATTTGTTGTGACACAGTTTTAGGTTCAATGGATTTATAATTTCTGCTTTCTTTATTCCTACTGCATTCTCTTGTTATTCAACAAAAGGAAAAGTGACAAGAATTTACCAGACATAATAAGTCTTTATTGTAGGAAATAAAAAGAAAGCCTGTCACTGGTAAGTCCCAAAAAATGCCTTATGAAGCCATTTAAGACACATGTTAAATTCTACTGATTTTGAAATTAAATACTATTTATTTATTTATTTATTTACAATTTGAGCATACATACAGAGGTACAAAAAAAAAAAAATACAGATAAGAGCAACATGCCAAAGCCACTTATACTATGTATTACAACACAATATGCATTTGTAATAATAGATGGTGTGGAAATATCGATGTGTTGCAGTTGATACTATATATACATATAAGCAATAACTGCAAACTTTATTTAGAAACAGGTGGGCCCCACTTATGCAACAAGTTAGGTTCCAGTCTACTGCCATAAGGCGAAAATTGCTGTAAAGTGAAATATAGCCTTTTTCCACTTTCAAATGCATATAAAAGCCTGATAACCTCTTTACACTATCATATATTAAGTGAGCAATAGAGCTAGCCTAAAAAATGCACATACAGTACACACATTACTTTTTTTTTTTTAACACACCAGGGCATAGGGGCATTGACCTCTGAAACCCTCTCCAGGTATATTCCAGGTATACTTCAGGCCATATCCCACCAAGGCAGGGTGACCCAAAAAGAAATAAAAAACTTTCATCATCATTCAACACTTTCACCATCACTCGCTGTCTTTGCAGAGGCACTCAGATACGACAATTTAGACATCCCTCCAA